CTGTTGTTTTATGTGAAGCCAGGTTTTGATTTAGGTTTACTAGTCCTTTAAGTGGAATCAATGTCATCAGTTAGTCAGGTAAAACAATGTAAGGAAGTGGCGATGTGTACTTGCCCCCCTTATTACTGGAGCTGGAGATGCTGAGGTCTCAGGCAGCTGATCAAAGCCCTACTGCTTGCTACTAATAATTCTCACTTTATTACCAAGTGTCATTGGCAGTCTTGCATGCCTAGAGATCAGAAAGGTACAAGTTGCAAGTGGGCAACCTGGGATCGCCGAGGTTAACACAATTTATAATGTTGAAAAATCTCTCTCGCTACAGCAATGGAGAGGAACTTTCAACTTGAACTTTTCAACTCTCTGGCTGCTTGGATCTGGGTGGAAACGGATCCAGGTATGTGTTCTAAATAAGTGCTGGTTTTCCTACAAGGGGACCTGTCATGTGTACAATCATGGAATGATTTCTAGAAGCTTGAGAGCTGCCTAAAATTCATTTCCAAATTCTGCTGGTCTAGGAAGTGCCTTCTGATTAAACCTGATTAGGTGATTAAACCTGGTTTGTTATTTCAACAAAACTGTAGCATTAACCAGCATATAATAAGTATTTAGACACAATATCAGGCTGCGTGATACACAAATTGTAAAATGTATCATATTTTTGAAAAAGGGAGATACAATCTCTGTGACACATTCATATGGCGAGGTAATGGCAAGATCGATGAAAAGATGCAAAGCATCACAGCAGCCAATCAGAATTCACTTACAAGTGAAGAAACGATTTTCGAATGGAATTTTGTGTTGTGTACACCCTCCTATATTACTTTAATCAATGCAAAATCCCTTGAATAAACACACACATCTATTATCTATCTGTCTTACTATCTGTCTGTCTATCTCTATATGTCTTTCTGTTATCATCTGTTGCTATCATCTATCTATCTATCTATCTATCTATCTATCTATCTATCTATCTTTCTATCTGTCCTTCTATTATCTATTTAGCTTTTTATCTATTTATCTAACTTCTAATATCTATCTATCTATCTATCCATCTATCTATCTTTCTATTAACTATTTATTTATATATACTTCTATTATCTATCTATCCTTCTATCTATCTATCTATCTATCTATCTATCTATCTATCTATCTATCTATATATCTATCTATCTATCTGACTTGTATAATCTATCTATTTAACTTCTATAATCTAGCTATCTATCTATTATCTACTAAGGTATGGTTGTACAACTTAATATAATAAGGGGATGGCGATGTGCAAGCATGTCAGAGAAAGTTCTTATGAAGTTTAAGAAGTGCCTCTACCCATCTCCAGAGACAGGTGCAGCTTGCACTGAACGCACATCAGATCATGTCTATATTATGTGCCTGGGAAAGACCCAGGTAGGCATGGCAGGAAGGATCTGTTCCAAGTTAGATAAGTCCCTAGAGGCTGATTTGGCGCCGGGCTGATGTTGGGGTTTGAATTGTGTGGCTTCCCCCTGGCTATAGCCATGTGTTCCCCCGCTATCACTTGTCTCCTCATCCTGGGTTTTCACACGGAGGGTGCCTTGGCAACTGCTCTGGATACCAACAGCCTAAGCTGGCTGGCTCATGTGCTGGGGGCTATACTTCCAGATGCCACTATATCATCATCATCACCATCATCCTCATCACCATCACAAGAAAAACGTGTTGAGATGTACAATATCCTCCCAATCGTGTAGGTTCAAAGTTCTGCAAGAAGTCTACCTATACAACAGTAGGCAAGGCAGGATTAGTATTGTCCAGCTCTTGTATCCAAATGTTAAGAATTCCATCTTATGCAGGCTGCATGGTCCGCTGAACCTGTATCCAATGTATCCAATCCCTTCCTATAATAAATGTAATAGCTGATCAATTCTTAACTGGGGTGGCTGAAAACCTTAAAAAAGCATGCAGGTAATTGCCGTTAAAAGTCATGTTTAATAACACGCTCCAGTGAAAGCAGGAAGCCACCGACTTTCTGAAAACCCGGCCAAAATTTCTGGCTAATTTCTTGCCAGGAAATCCTGACAATAAATCAATTCCCCTTTCAAAATGTGGGATCAAAAGGAAAGGCTGTGCTCTGTGGTGTATTTAGAGTGCCGCGCTGATAAGGGAAAATAGGTCCTCTTCTGATCCTTTAGCAAAGGATCACTTTATACATTTCCATAAACTGCTTTATGTCATACACTTTATAATAGGAGATCACTATCAACATATAGAGCCAAGGTAAGAGCAGGGGGTAATATTCCTCACCACACAGATGACTTCCTGTCCCGAAATATCACAGAAACAACCAACCACAGCCAAGTTGCTTTAGAACTGTCTTTTTTTTTTTTAGTGTGGAATCTTTTACTAAAGAACTTGTGTATCTTTACATAAATCTTAGGGTACTCTTTGAATACCCAATCATGTGCAGAAAAAAATAAATAAGAATTTGCTTTGCAAATAACTGGATAATTAGAGTGAATCTACACCCAATTTATTGAGGGAGGATACTCAATTAGTTGAGCAAATCAGTTTTAATAAGCGAATAAGTGAATGCTATTATTAGCAGCCTTGCACTGCAGTTACTGTGCATTTTGTATAGTTCTAATATGATGCACACTCCAAATGATGGTGATTTTCAGAAGGCCTCTGAGTGAATTGGTCAGAAAAGAAGCAGTTGATCGGTGATGAAGGAAGAGGAGGGGGAAGAAAAAAAAAAGAAGTTTTCTGTATTCAGCAGGCATCTTCGGAATGGCAGAGAGAATAAGCAGCTCCTTGAAAAGAGACATTGGGAAGTAAGCATTGGGCTGAACACGAGATGCTCATCTCCTATCTCTTATTCATCCCTGACCAACACATGTCATCTGGGGCTTGCAGTGAAAAGAAGGAGTCCCTTGACAGAAGCGTACAGCTGTCGCCCTATGGGCTCTATAGGACTAGGGCATCTCCAGACATCCCAGCCTCTGTTTTACATGAGAAGTAGCACATATGCAGAGAGGCAGAGGGGGCGGGCGAAAGGTTGCCGTATTGATTTCATTTTTTACCGTTTACCAATAAACGAGCAGAGAATACAAACAAACAGCTGAGGGGGCACGACAGGAGACATTGGTGGGGAAAGACACAGTTGACATCCATAGCAAGACAAAGAACGGGGGAAGTGGCACTGGAGAATGCCAGACTTTCCTAACCTAATGAATATTACTAAGAACCCTGAAGAAGCCACAGAAAGGTATGGATGAGCATTTCCATTGTTTTCATTGAAATCATAAACTATACACCAGCATGAGAACCCTTGGAGCATCCTGTAGCAAGCAAATAAAAAGACACCCATTACTAGTTTCCTCCAGCATCCTGACAAGTAGATGCAAAGCTGCCAATGTTTAACCTGCTCCATGCAGACTTGTAAATGTAAACACCGCACAGGGGAATCCATAGCGAGCCATCAATAGCCGATCCTTAGATCATTCCCGTCCTATGCAATCATTTACATGATTTGGGATCACTCTACCCCCTTTGCCACTCTTTTTTTACAAGCAAACTTTCTCCAAAGGGGATTCAGATAAAGTGCAATTATCAAGTAGGATACTTGAGCTATTGTAAGCAGCTGGAAGTGCGAACTTCCATATTCTCCTATCTACATTAATCCCTGACAAGCAATTTGTCCATTTCAGGAACAAACAATTTACAAACGATTGTACGATCACAAGAAAATCATGGCTTTACCGCTGCAAAGCCCCATCTCCCTGATGTTGTTTAATTAACAATCAACACCTAGATGATACTCGCCAGTCAGACACAAACAGCCAGGTTTGTTTGCAAATGTTTATTTGTGAAGTCAGCCAACACTGTTCATTATACATCCAAGCCAAGCGCTTCTTAATACAGCCAAAAAGCGATCAGCTCCCTCGGCTGCCATAAAAACAACTTTCTTTAAAAGATGATCTAGCATATAAAGATGCCATTCAATAACTCTCCTATGAATGGCAACAAGCAGCCAGGAATACATACACAGCACACGTTATACCATGGGATGCTTGTTTTAGCATTAGAATAAAAACAAATTCAAATAATTAACTTCAGATCAACACCGTAAAATTGTGACACATATAAAGTTCATTAATGCCACATAAGTATGCATTAACTTCTATATATTTCATACATGCCTTATATTTCATTCAATACATGATGGTACTAAATTGGTTCATGAAACAATGCGTAAAAAATGTTTGGGATGGTATGTTTGGAATGTTATTGGTACACACACATATTCTATTCAATATACAAATATTCTAATTTAACACAAAAAATAAGCCACAAAAATATAATACCCTGCTGATAGCTTTCTAGCTCTGTACATCAGCCATTTTAAAGTGCATATCTTTTTCCCAACTAAAATCCCCAAACTGTCCAGCCTGCCCCCCTATGATATTTGTATGCGTGCGGAAATATATACATATACTACCTACCAGATTTATCAGTGTCTGCGCTGGAAGGAACGTGTACACTTATCACACTTGAAATATCATTACCGTTCTGGGCTTGATCCACCTCTTCAATAAAGAGTGAATGTCTTACCAAATAAAAAAATGAAAATATGATATTACCACTAGGTTTTGACAAAGGGTTGCTTTCCCTATTTCTACAAATGGTTTTACAGTACTATTAGAGCTTGGTGTGGTGGTTAATGGTTTACAAGGGCACTGCGAGGAGCTGATTGGCTGCTGCCTCCTGTTTCGTCACTGACTTCTCCATAAGGCTAGCTCTACAGCAGCTGGGAACATGCAGTCCAGGGAAGACAGTTCAGATGGGAAGAGACAGTCAGTGGAGCATTCACAGACCTGTAGGATCAGACCTGAGCCAGCTCTGTGTGCCACATCTCAACACTTGCCATCATGTTCATCTGGCATTAGGAAGAAAAGGAAGACTTTGATCAGACTTTGAGTTCGAAAGCAAGAGCAGCCTGGAAACCTCGTTGTAACAACGACCAGATCTGGAAACCTTAATGGGCTAGGTAACTGCTACCTTCATGCAATGAACTGAGAAAGGCAACAGAACCACCTCGTGGATCGGAACCTACAGGCAATCCACCACCCCCCTTCATAACAAAAACAGGGAGTTGTGTGCGGCTTTCCTTTGACATTTGACGAGATGCTGGCGCATTAGAGAAGAAAGCCCACCACCGGTATTTATTTTGGAAAGCGAAAGCACTTTCATCACTGACTGAGCTACCTCAGAATCCACAAGCCAATTGATCGCTGTCAGATTTGTGTTCTGCTCTCGTGCAATTGGGGATTTCCATCGTGGGAGAAGCTGCACCCTCTAGCCTTGGCTGTCTGCTTTCCAGAGTGGGAGACGACACGGCGGTCACATTTCTATTACACATCTGCCTGAGAGTGTTGGGGTTCCTGTCACCTGGATCCATCCCCGGATCTCACTATATCAGCCAACCAAAGACAATGGTGCACTGTGCGGGATGCGAGAGGCCCATCCTGGACCGCTTCTTGTTGAACGTTTTGGACAGGGCTTGGCACGTTAAGTGCGTTCAGTGCTGTGAATGTAAATGCACCTTAACAGAGAAATGTTTTTCCAGAGAAAGCAAGCTTTACTGTAAAAATGACTTCTTCAGGTAAGTGCTGCTCCCAGAACCACCCCAAAACGGTCCTGACACATGGCTAGAACTTCCTTATTACAGGTCGGCTTTTTGCTAGGCTTGCTGCTAAGAAGCTTCTGGGATTTCTAAGGTTCTTCATGTTCTCACAACCATGTCACACACCTGTGTTTGTCTGTCTATGTACACATCACTATGTCATCCCTCCTTCATCTTTAACCACTCTACATACAAGTATGTGCTATCGTGCCATAGCTAGTACAACATATAACCTCCTCCTTTACAGCCTTTTTTATATGCAATACATCATATAACATATACAGCATAATTCAGTATCTAAGATATGAACATTTCTAGTAAAAACAGGTCAACGATCCCCACCTAGCTAAAAACAACTGGTCCATTTTTTAACAGGGGCGTTTGTCCCACCACAACTAGTGTTTTAAATGTAAGCGTCAAATCGTTTCTCACAAGGCTGGAGGATACACGTTTATTCTACATATATCTAATTTAGCTACATACATACTTTATAAGCTATATAAAAG